CCTATAATGGCATTGTCCACTATGCCTATAATTGCATTGCCCACTATGCCTATAATGGCATTGCCCACTATGCCTATAATGGCATTGCTCACTATGCCTATAATGGCATTGTCCACTATGCCTATAATGGCATTGCTCACTATGCCTATAATGGCATTGTCCACTATGCCTATAATGGCATTGCTCACTATGCCTATAATGGCATTGTCCACTATGCCTATAATGGCATTGTCCACTATGCCTATAATGGCATTGTCCACTATGCCTATAATGGCATTGCCCACTATGCCTATAATGGCATTGCTCACTATGCCTATAATTGCATTGCCCACTATGCCTATAATGGCATTGCCCACTATGCCTATAATGGCATTGCTCACTATGCCTATAATGGCATTGTCCACTATGCCTATAATTGCATTGCCCACTATGCCTATAATGGCATTGCCCACTATGCCTATAATGGCATTGCTCACTATGCCTATAATGGCATTGCCCACTATGCCTATAATGGCATTGCCCCACTATGCCTATATGGCATTGCTCACTATGCCTATAATGGCATTGCTCACTATGCCTATAATGGCATTGTCCACTATGCCTATAATGGCATTGCTCACTATGCCTATAATGGCATTGCTCACTATGCCTATAATGGCATTGTCCATTATGCCTATAATTGCATTGCCCACTATGCCTATAATGGCATTGCCCACTATGCCTATAATGGCATTGCCCACTATGCCTATAATGGCATTGCCCACTATGCCTATAATGGCATTGCTCACTATGCCTATAATGGCATTGTCCACTATGCCTATAATGGCATTGCCCACTATGCCTATAATGGCATTGTCCACTATGCCTATAATGGCATTGCCCACTATGCCTATAATGGCATTGCCCACTATGCCTATAATGGCATTGTCCACTATGCCTATAATGGCATTGCTCACTATGCCTATAATGGCATTGCTCACTATGCCTATAATGGCATTGCTCACTATGCCTATAATGGCATTGCTCACTATGCCTATAATGGCATTGCTCCACTATGCCTATAATGGCATTGCTCACTATGCCTATAATGGCATTGCCCACTATGCCTATAATGGCATTGTCCACTATGCCTATAATGGCATTGTCCACTATGCCTATAATGGCATTGCTCACTATGCCTATAATGGCATTGCTCACCATGCCTATAATTGACGATTATCTTTGATTTTTTACAAATACTGAGTCAGTGTTTTTAACATCCGATGTCCGTTTTAAATTGATTGATGTCATTTATTTTATTTTTACTCATGAAGGAATAGGACTTCAGCCTCCCATTAGCAGGCTGAGAGTTTACCTTAACTTGGTAAACCTTAACCCTACTAGCCTTTCGTGGAACATGATTGGTCAGTTGATTTACAACCAGCTCCCCATTTGCTTCCGGGTAAACATTTGAGGGCACTGAGAGGTATACCTAATGTGAGAGGCATATTTGTTCAGGTATACCTCCGTTTCGCAGTGTGTATACTCAGATGTTAGTTAATTAGTCCAGGACATTGTTCAGGACTAAAGTATACTTGTTGGTTGGTTAGTAATCTATTGTGGTGGTCTTAACTTTCGAGAGGTTGATAGGCCTTAATATATTGATAGGCCTCTTAACTTTCCAGAGGTTGATAGGCCTTAATATATTGATAGACTTCTTAACTCTCCAGAGGTTGATAGGACACTTCACCAAGGATCGGCACTCAGTCAACCCTTCCGAACTAGGGGGTCGAACCCTGCTGTATAATCGCTCTCGATGCCGGGGAAGGGACGGGGATTATCAGGGAGGGAAAGCGCCGAGCTATTAAGACTATATAGCACTTGGAACGGGTCAGGATAAGGATTTGGGATGGGACGGGGGGAAGGAATGATGCCCCAACCACTTGAACGGTCGGGGATTGAACGCCGACCTGCATGAAGCGAGACCGTCGCTCTACCGTCCAGCCCAAGTGATTCTTGTGACTCATTTCATATAGCCACCGAAAAGACTGTAGTCTAATGACACAAACTACCTCATAGTTTCTTATTACCTAACCAAGATCTTATTCCTTAATTAAAGTGATCTCTTCTTGAAAGAAAGCGTCTAGGCTAGAAAACTTGTTCCTAATGTTGGTCGCATTTACGTAAAAACTTTTAATAGACGAAACTTTTTAAATTTATTTAAAGATTTACATATTTTCACAGTTGACTTTGCCTCACCACTCTGATAATGGAATGCACTCTTAACCAAAGTTGCACGACCTGGCTTGCAGGTTGCACACTTTGTGGTAATATTAAACACGAATTTGCAGACGCTGTGTGTTTCAATTCCTTCCCCCCCCCCCCCGTCTCATCCCAAACCCTTATCCTGACTCCCTCTTCCAAGTGCTATATAGTCATGATGGCTTGGCGTTTTCCCCCTGATAATTCTCTTTCCTCAAATTGTACCATCAAATAATTAAGAAAGATCATTATTATTGTGTAATAATAGTTATTGCCATTCTACAATTAATTCTCGAATTAAGCAGGCGATGAGTTACAATAACGTGGCTGAAGTATGTTGACCAGACCACACACTAGAAGTTGAAGGGACGACGTCGTTTCGGTCCGTCCTGGACCATTCTCAAGTCGATAAGACAATCGACTTGAGAATGGTCCAGGACGGACCGAAACGTCGTCGTCCCTTCAACTTCTAGTGTGTGGTCTGGTCTCGAATTAAAAAACAGGATTCACTAACAATGCTGTCATAGTGTGTGTGTGTTGTGTGTATATATATATATATATATATATATATATATATATATATATATATATATATATATATATATATATATATATATAAAATGTATGTACTTTTCCCTAAATAATCATTATCAATGCTGTTTACCACATTCGAATTGTAGAGAAAACCGTGAACAGTGTGAAGAGTGGCATGAGGAGAAAGGAAATGCTGTCAATTCCTTTTTGCTACGTCCTGGACCAATAGAAAGCGCTATAGGCCAGTACGACTCTATAGCAGTAGCTGTAGCTATATAGCAGTAGCTGTAGCTATATAGCAGTAGCTGTAGCTATATAGCAGTAGCTCTATAATACGACTATAAAGCAGTTGGAAAAGGGATATGAGGATAAGGATTTGGGATAGGACGGAGGACAGAAACGGTGTGAAGCCTCTTGGATCGTCGGGAATCGAACGCCGATCTGCAAGAAGCAAGGCCGTCGCTATACCGACCAACCCAAGTAGTTGGGTATTCGTCGTGTGTAGCAAACTTATCATTTTGCGTTATTATTTCTATTTTGATTTATTATTCGTTGTTGTTATTATTATTACGTTGTTTTCGTTAGCGACATTACCTTACCAATGACTCAAATTGTAAAAAAAAATATAGAAAATCCAAGAGTTCACAATTATGCTGTAAATCTTTACAACAATATCCATTCATATTCGTGAAAGAAATTGTCGATATTCAAAAAAAAAATGATCATCTTCCATAATATTACTGTTGCCCCGAGATCCACATCCTCTTTATGGGTGCAAACTCCATCGCTATCACATATAAACAACTTCTTTAAGACGTCTTATATCATTATCGTCTGGCAGTTACCCATAAGATTTATCAACATGTTTGAGATAACTGTTATCACTCTCAAGGTTAGGTTAGGTTAATATTTTGAGGACTTTTATGTAATGTTTCCTGAGACGGATCTATTAGGAATGTAAGAGGGAGAGGGAAGCTTAAGATGAAGAGGGAGGCTTAAGATGAAGAGGGAGAGAGAGGGTTATAGTGGAAAGAGGTAGAATGGGTTAGGATAGAGAGGGACAGAATGGAGAGCGAGGGATTAAGATGGAGAAATAGTGGAATTGTTAAGATGGAGAGGAAAGGTTAGAATGATTTGGATAGGTAGGATCAGAGGAACGTATGAGGGAATAGATAAGGGACTGTGTATCAAGGGAGAAAGAGAACGTGGTGATAGATAAGAAAATGATATAGGAGAAAGGTCAAAGATAAGGAGAGTATCAAGTGACGGAAGACAATATCAGTGATAAAAGCAAGAATGATAGGGATGCTGGGAGGGGTAGAGGGGGGAGATATGCATGAGAGGGGAGAGAATTTCAGGATAAAAGTACGGAAGGCAATGAAACAGAGCGCGAGCGAGTGAGCGAGAGAGAGAGAGAGAGAGAGAGAGAGAGAGAGAGAGAGAGAGAGAGAGAGAGAGAGAGAGAGAGAGAGAGAGAGAGAGAGAGAGAGAGAGATCCACTTGGCTTTACAGTGTAATCCTCGGTCACTCCCGTAAATGGACTAAGTCAATTACTCCAGTCTGAGGGGTGCCCCTAGCAGGGGAGTCGCCTGAACTCTTTCTAATGACTCTTGTTCATTACCAGGATGCACTCTTAACAAGCACGTGCGTACACACGCGCGTGAGGAAGCTCACTGACAAGCACACACACACACACACACACACACACAGTTTCAAATGTAGATATGATAGAGCCCAGTAGGCTCAGGAATCTGTACACCTGTTGATTGACAGTTGAGAGGCGGGACCAAAGAGCCAAAGCTCAACCCCCGCAAGCACAATTAGGTGAGTACAATTAGGTGAGTACACACACACACACACACACACACACACACACACACACACACACACACACACACACACACACACACACACACACACACACACACACACACACGAGAGCAGGACAGCATGCCTGTGTTAAACAAAAACTATTGTGGAGAAACCCATTTGTGAAGATAAAATTGTGCTTCACTGAAAGGATAAAATGTTATTGAGGCAATGACCTACAAGTTCAAGCGAACCTCACTACACCCAGAATACAATATAAAACTCTGAACAGGACGTACACAGATATCACCCAAATAATATTTTTAAACACACACAGAGATCACAATAACGTGATGCATCAAATGAACAAATTCACAAGGGCCGTGACGAGGATTCGAACCTGCGTCAACCTGCAGTGTTTGGGATGCTCCTGGACGCAGGTTCGAATCCTCGTCACGGTCCTTGTAGATTTGTTCAATATTTTTAAATATCCTTATGATTAGAAGTACAGCTGCTTTAGAAATGGGAGACTTGAATCATGAAATAATTGACTGGAAAACAGTAGTCCCAAGAGGAAGACATGGGACAGGGGGGAATAAAGATGGAAAAAGTAGCAAAAATGATCATTCAAATGGAATAAATGAGGGATGAAACAGAGAGAAAAGAGAGAGGTATAGGAAGATGTAATAAAAGCCGATTAAGAAATGAAATGGAGAAAATAGGAAGAGGATGAGTTATAGAAGATCATTCTATAAAGGAACGTACCACATAGATAATTTTTTTGAGATGGGAAATAGAATTCAAAGAAAATAAACACAATATAGACGCCATAACGAGCACAGAAGCTGGAGAAAGAATCATACCCTCACCAAAAGATAAAGATGATAAGGGTAAAAAATGCCCAAGAACACAAAAGTGGAAAATAATAGATTATGACAGGAATGTAGAAAATACAGAAGGGAACTATCGGGGGAAAGCGCCAAGCCATTACGACTATATAGCACTGGGAAGGAGTCAGAATAACGATTTGGGATGGGACGGGGGGGGGGGGAAATGGGATGGTGCCCAACCACTTGGACGGTCGGGGATTGAACGCCGACCTGCATGAAGCGATACCGTCGCTCTACCGTCTAGCCCAAGTGGTTGAAGACAGAACAAACGTGAACTAATACAAAGAAGAATGAACACAGAGGCACTGGGGGAGCAGCGAAAAAGGAGTATGAGAATAACACAGCAGCCAAAACCATGAGCTCTCCTATACTGCTGCACAGCCAAATTAAGAGGCAAATATCGGGTAATGACCTTAGGTTGAGGCTGCACAAGAGAGGCACAGTGCACATGCACAATAATGGGACAGTGGTTATCTTGAGGTTATCTTGAGATGATTTCGGGGCTTTTTAGTGTCCCCGCGGCCCGGTCCTCGACCAGGCCTCCACCCCCAGGAAGCAGCCCGTGACAGCTGACTAACACCCAGGTACCTATTTTACTGCTAGGTAACAGGGGCATAGAGTGAAAGAAACTCTGCCCATTGTTTCTCGCCGGCGCCTGGGATCGAACCCAGGACCACAGGATCACAAGTCCAGCGTGCTGTTCGCTCGGCCGACCGGCTCCCTCATAGTGGGACCAGT